TCCTCCCTGGTGATGGCCCCTCCCTTCCATTGGGTGTACGCCTCCTTTTTAGCTTTGAGACATTCCTGGATGCTTTTGGTGAGCCATGGGGGCTTTTGAGCACTCTTGCCCCCTGTGATCTGTGTTGGGATTGTCACCATTTGGGCTTGGAGGATCGTCTCCTTAAGGAACGACCACTCTTCCTGGACTCGCAACTCCCCTTCCCTCCGGGACCTCAGTGCCTCCCCGACTAGTCTCCTTACCTCATTGAAATCCGCCTTCCTGAAGTCTAGGCCTGCTGCCTTGCTGCAGGCCTTTGACACCCTGCGCTGGATGGTGAATTCCAGTAGGCGATGATCGCTATCGCCCAGGTGGTCAAGACCCCACAGTCCATTATGATTACATTAACTACTCAAGATTGAAGCAGGAGTGAAACTGATAATTAGATCTTATGCTGACCTACCTCACTTCTGGGGTATCCACATAATTCCTTAGTGAGAACAGTGCTATCAAGAATAAACTCAAAAGCCAACTTGAGTATAGCCCACAGCTCTGTAAAAATATTAGCAGTCAACTTTTTACCATGTAAACTTTGGCTACGTTTTGGGGGAGTAGGTTCCATTTTTGACTGTAGTCTGAAAAACTGTCAGTAGAGTTGTGAACCTATAAAAGACCTTTAACAAGGTCTGATTTCATATCACGTGGATTTCACTCCATAGGTACAATAGCAGAAAAATGAAGTGCCATCTTTATCATTGAATTTCCTGACTTTGTATATTGTTTGTGTTGCTTATAAAGGAAATTGGAGAAAAAACACTGATAGGAATAATCATATAATGGAGTTATTCATTTTCCTACCCACTAACTTGTGTTGAACTTGTTCAGCAGTTCTCTAACGCAGTGCACTAAGAAAGGAAATTTTCTGATGGTCAGAAGGTCCCATCTCCTATTTCTGAATTATAATCTTTCCTTTGACACTAAATTCCTGTCATCTTCTGTGGCTGACTTCATTTGTCTCCATTTTCTGTCTGTTCAGTAGAGATTCGGTGTCTGCATCTTAGGGCTGTTCTGAAGATTGATTCTGGGTTTTTTCTTTTACTTTAAAAACTGCATATGAAACTTGGCAAGCAATATTATTTTGACTAAATTTGATTCAGCTCTTTCACTAGGGGGTGCTGTCTAACATAATTTTGCAACGTAATATGTGAAAGCAAATGTTAAATAACTTTAAAACTGAGAGAGAACTTTTTTTTAAAGGTCAGTAGGTGTAAAATGCAAAGAGATTTGGAGTTCTTGATCTCCCAAGTATTTTACTTTGCATTGAGCAGTCTGTACAAGCATCAGAAAATATATCCACAGCTATACTACTGATTCCAGCGCCCAGGTTCTCCTAGCTACTCTGCAATCTAGGCAGTCTTCACAGCATTCTGTTTTCGTTCTGTTTTTTAATTTCTGAGCTCAGAATCAAACTTGTTGCAAGGTAATTTTGTCCTTTCTTGCAATTACCTACTTCCTCTGGGCCTGGTTGTCCTGAACTGCTTTTTTCAAACTACATGCAGATTTTTTTGCATAGCTTTCAAATTTCTGCTCTGGAGAGGGAAGGGGGTTGGGGGAGAGCGGGTTTCTACAGGGAGAATAATTAACGCATCTTGTTTTTTAAAACGTTAACAGATCAGACCAAAAATAACTTCTACACATGCTATCAGTAATTTTGAGTGGGTTTTGCTGTGCTGCCTGTGAATTATTAGTTTAGTTGCTGGTTTCAGAACACCTGCTCTGTAATGTGGTACTTTCTGTTATCCCAGTTCTTCCCTCTTATCTTCCACTGTATTTACTTTGTGCCAGAGCAGGCAAAATGTAATTTCTCTAACATTGTTGGTTAGTATTCCTTCTTAACCACGCTGTCTAGTAGTGAGCTTTCTAGCTTTGTTTTTCTCCCCATCCCTCAA